ACTTCCCACGAAGTCGTCTAGCTGACGCTTGAACATTTGGACATTTATCTTCTCCGACACCTCTTCCGGTAGCATATTCCACATTTCTGTCCCCCATCGAGATAGGCGGTAAAATTAAGGTAGTTCTGCCATGTGCTGTTTCTCCAGGATTAATGAGTGCTCCCTCGTACGACTGGGCTCTCAAAGCGGAAGTATCGACTTCAGTTTGCCGCTCAGGTCTCCTTGAATGATGCGTCTGGTGTAGATTAAATCTATTCTCGTCCGCCTGTAAGCTAATGGCTGTCTATCAAAGAGCTTCCCGTAAAAAAGGAATTTCGGCATACCGATTTACTGATGTATCAGTGTCAAAGTGAAAGTCGAAATTTTATTATGAAAAATAATTACAAGCGGTTGCTTTTCCCATAGAGTTTAGCACAGATGAATCGATTCCCGATTCATAGAAATGACACAATTTATCCTTGTTTCGTGCATTGCTATGGATGTTGAAATTTAAGATCTGTCAAAACTTCATCTAATTCGGGTTTAAAGGAATTAATTGTGGGTTCAAAAATAACGTGTGGTGGTAGAGAATTCCAAGTAGTGCACACTCTGAGGCAAATGGATGACGTCAGCATTCTAGTTGGTATTTTTGGAGCACTAATTTGAATGAGAGCCCCTGAGGGGAGTGTTGGGCGACAAGGCAAAGGGTAAACAACATGGGTGCCCTGGGTTCTGCATTATTTGATACACCAAGATCGAGCCCCTCAAATGCGGCAAAAATGTGTGGAGTATAGTTGCAGTGATTCTAGTCTTTCCACATAACTCCTGTAATGCAGTCCCTTGACCATTTTGGGGGCCATTCTTCGTGGACGTTCTAGAATCTTCCGATTGCGTTACAGTCATGGTTTCCACGCTTAAATTGCATACTCCATGTGGGGTCGAATGCAAGCTGATCACAACCGTGAAAAAAGCGTATGTTCAAATTTACCAAATTCTCGCTTTAGCAAACCAACATGTCTTACAGCGACGAACGACGCCCTGGAGTAGGAAAAAACAACTTAGGTACTTATAACGCGCCGCTCTAGGGTAGGCGTCATCACGTAGGCATGGATCACCACAACTCTCCTCCCTCAAAAGAGCTTCGTCGAATTGAACTCTTCTTGGGATTGAGTTTCGTAGAGCGAGTGTAGCAGGCACGTCAGGATCACCGGATTGCTGTTTTCTGATCTTTGTTCTTGAAAATGCAGGGTCAGTGAATTCATCGTTCACATGGGCACATTTCTTTGCATGTATTTCGTCGGTTTGGTGTCGGTATCCTACTGAATCTTTTGTCGACGTAAAGCATTGTACTGATGATCGTAATCTTCGCAGTTTGTGCGATTTCACCGATTTTTCTTTGATGTTGAGTTGCACGGCACTCTCGCACTTTGGTAGGACATTTTCAGCAGTTCTTCAAATTGTGACAATATCATCTGGCTTGCCGATGAAATGGCACTTTTCACCGTTATCACCAAATTCTTCGCTGCATCGTGCGAGCAGGAGCAATGTGACATCGTGCGTAACCGTCGCCGACCGTTAACCTTCGATCTGGAGGTTTGTATGTACATACTTCTAGCGTTAGTGAGACTGTTGGTGATTACTTTCCGCCGCTGGGCATGGACAGTCGGTACTTGGCAGGAATCTAATGGCTGGTTGCTGCAACTGGCGTATTGTGTTCAGACCCAGGATGAATTGTATATTCTCAGCTACCAGAAATCGAATTGGAATGAAGTGATTTGTTGCTGATTGAACCAATAACGACACCTCTCCCACCAATGGGAGTTTGTGGTCCGTAATACCAATAATGTTCACAGTTGTTTGCCGGACTTGTGCTTCCAGACAGATGAATCGAAGCACTTCAGTAGAAATGATAGATTTCGTTTTCCCGCATGCATGAAACTTTGCATTTCGGAAGCGGCAGTTGGAGCGCAGATGATAAGCTCCACATGACAAACAGAGAATGATACGTTTATCGGCGCCTGAAGGGTCTTGCTGCGGCTTCGGTTTACACTTGGCCATTGAAGATTTCTTCGGTCTTGTCCTCAGTGTGACTGCTTTCATCAGTTCATCGTGTTGTTCACAGATCTTGCGGGTCTCCGTAAAAGTCAAATCCTTCTTCTCCAGCAACTTCCGTTAAAGAATGAGATTATTAGTGCTTGCCACCAAGAGGTCGCACATTTGTTCTTACAGGTGATCACCACAGTTGCAGCGTGATGCCAGTTTGTTTGGCTGCAGGATGAATTCACGGCAGGAAACATGATCGGCGCGAATCATGGAGTTGAATTTGGCCCTTTCGTATGCTTGGAACTCAGTGGGTAGCAGGTGGTTGAGCAGCAACGACTCCAGGGACTCATATGGTAGTTTAGCCTCAGGGAACTCCACAATTTTCAACAGGGAATAGAGGTCTCGGCCGCCAGCAGTAAGAAATAGGGCTGATTGATACTGCGCAACACCTTTTCGAATACTGCACCACAGTTCGAATCGTTCGACCCATTCCTCGATCTCAGATGGACTTGCCTGCAGGTTCAGTTGCTCAATCATTGGAAGCTCCATCACGCGAC